AATAATTTGAGTATGGGAAGATAATTCACCTATAACAGGTGACATGTCAGTCACACAGGTTGAAGTATCAGTCCCTCTTCCATAGAGAATGTGTTATGAGTTAGAGGCCAGACTGAGTGAGCTCCAGACCAGCCTGGGCTGTACAACAAAACCTTATGTCAAATAAAAAGAACATTTTTTTGTGCACATTTAAGACTGTGATACATCTCTTAAGTCTCATGTAATTCCCTGATCACCTTTCTATCACACTATTTGTCTTTTTAAATAAATTTGGTATGTATATTTTAGTTTCATAACATGATATTTATGGTAGTGAAATGGTTGCCATACTGAGGTATATTACCATGTATCTCACAATTATTGTCACAATTATCACAATTATTGTGATAAGAGCAGCTAAAATCTACATCTGATACAATTTATTTTTAAATTATAGTCCTCTATAAGTTAAACATTAGATATCTAAGTTTCTTCATCCTAATCTTCTGCTACTTTGTATACTCTGACCTACATCTCTCCATTTCCTTCTATGCCTTACCCTCACTAACCACCATTTCATCATCTCTGGGCATCTGACTTTATAAAATGATTCCATGTATAAATGGGGTCATATAATGTTTCTCTTTGTGTCTGGTTTTATTTCACCTGACATTTTCCAAATACACCTCATAAATGCTACACTTCTTCCTTTTTAAAGACTGAATGGCATTCTGTTTTGTAGAAGTACCACATTTTCTTTAACCATTTGTTTACAGTTAAACAAATAATTCTGGAATGAACATAAATGGCAGTGTAGAAAATCTTTATAAGGTGTTTATTTTGTCTTCTTTTGGTGTATATCCACAAAAGGAATTTCTGGGTCATCTACTAGTTATAGGTTTAACTTCACAGTGGTCATATTAGTTTATATTTCCCACTAAGTTTACAAGGGTACCCCCCCTTTTTTTCCACTTTCACAAACAATTGCTTTCTCCTTTTTATAATAGATAATCTAACTGGGCTGAAGTGATGACCCTTTATTTTAATTTGTGTTTCCCTAATGATTAGTGATGTTGAACATTTAAAAATATCTCTTAGCCGTTTGTATGTCTTTGTAGAGGTTTCTTTTCAGGTCCTTTGCTATTTTTTTTTTCCTCTTGAGACAGAGTCTCATTATGTAGTTTTGAATGGCTTGGAACTCACTATGTAGATCAGATTGGCCTTGAATTCCCAGAGATCTTACTGTCTCTGTCTCCTGAGTGCTGGAATTAAAAGTGCTGCAATTAAAATTATGCCACCAAAACCCATCCAGTTTAAATGGGGTTATTTTTTGCCCTGCTGTTGCGTTGTAAATATTCCATTTCAATTTTTTATTAATTTAAAATATTTATTTATTTGTAATTATGTTTATGTATGGTGTTGTGTACCTGGGTGCAGATGCCCTTGGATGCCAGAAGAGGGCTTTCTGGAGAGCTCTTGAACTTAGGGTTATAAGAGGTAACAGATGTGTGTACTGGGAACTGAATCTGGGTCTTCTGCTAGGCCAGCATTCACTCTTAAGCAATGAGTCATCTTTCCAGAAGTACTAGAAGTTGTTTTTTATTTTTTTTAATAAATTTCAGAAGTTAAATCTAATCAGATGGCACACACCTTTAGTTCCAGCACTCTGGAGGCAGAGGCAGACAGATCTCTGAGTCTGAGGCCAACCTGATCTATAGAGAGAGTTCCAGGACAGCCAGGGCTAAACAGAGAAACCCTGTGTCAAAACAAAAAACAAAATAACAACCAAAAACCCCATTTGTCATTTCCTTTGCTGTACAGAAGCTCTTTTCTTCTCTATTATGTGTTGAAACTTGGTATTTAACCTACTTACTTACCAAACAACTTCTAGAACACATTGTTTTGGCCTTTTCATAACCATAGCTCTCAGGCAGACATTTTAAAACCTAAGGAAATTCATGATGGTAATCTTGTATGATTTAACAGTAAGACTGCTTTATATCCTCCTCAAGTTATTATATAACTCTTCTTTTTCCTTCCAGTCCTGATGAAATACTTATGGGCAGATTCATGTCTTGTCTTTCTTGTATCTTTGTGCATGCTTTTCTCTCTGGATTGCTTTAGTCTCAGTGTTGTTGCTACTTCTTCCCGGAGCCTTCCTAGACCTCATCTGACAGTGGTTTTTTCTCTTATGTGTTCCTTTAGCATCTTGGCTCTCTTTTATTATAACACTTGTCTCATTGAGGACAATTATCTGATTAGCCATCTGCCCACTTCCCCTGCCACACACAAGACTGGGAGTGGCATGATGTGTGACTTGCTCAACTTGGCTTCTCTAGTATATGGCAGTGCCCAGCATATTTAGTAGATCAACTGGTACTTTTTAAATGAATGAATTATGAACTTGTCTGTGTCATCTTGCCTCTGTATAAAAAGCATTTAACATGAAACTTGCTTCTGTGCTCAATTTGATTTCCTCTTTTGTAGTCCTTTTTAAAGAACTAAAACAAAGTTCTTCTTTGCATTTCCTTACTAAAGTGGCCTTTGGAAAGTTTGGGGTACTCCAGGCTTTCCATAGAAGCTTTCTTAACAGGCATGCATGATATCATCCCGTTCTTTGTCCCTGTTGATTCCAAAGCTGAAATTTCCTGCCTCTTGCATTCTAAACCTCAGAACAAGGTGAATTCCTGTCCTTGTTAATGGCTCACTTCCACTCAGTGCCATAGTTTCTTGTTGTTGTGATTGTTTTTTTGAGACTTGGTCTCACTTTGTTGTCCAACCGAAGTGGAACTCACCATGTAAGGTAGGATAGCTGTGAACTCATGTAGTCCCATCTGATTCTGCCTCACAAGTTCTAGGATTAAAGTGTACATCACCATGCCTGGTATTTTTTTTTTTTTGCAACAGGCATTTGAGTTATTCATTTTTCTCTTCCTCTTAGATCATGCCCATAAGCATACATGCATGTTGTTATTTCTTTTGTCTTATAAAAACACAATCACATTGCCTCCTTCATCTTCTGAGAGTCAAATCTCTTCTAAGAGCTTAACATGAATGTAAAGACAGAACAAGGGAAGGGCTTATCTCCCCCAACCCAAATCAGTGACTGTCCTCATGCTTGGTGTCTCTTGTCACAGCCTAGAAGAGCTTTTGATTCTGACATATACTTGTGGATCTTTTATGACAACTGGTCTTTGCTTTTCAGTACATCTTTGGATTCTCTGTTGTCCTGAATGTCTTGTTATAGCGAGAGAGTTGAATGTATTCCAAATGATGGTTTCTTTTACCTCCATAGTCTTGGTCAGAGTAGGCTTAAAAGCTAGAGATATAGGGGCTGTATCTCTAGCTCAGAGGTTAAGAGCACTGGCAGCTCTTCTAGAGGTCCTGAGTTCAATTCTTAGCAACAATATGGTTGCTCACAGCCATCTATAACTGTACTTCCATGGGATCAAATACCCTCTTCTGGTATGCAGACAAAACATCCATATGCATAAAAAAAACAATCCTTTTTTTAACTACTAGAGATACAGAAGACTTCCTATCTGATTGGTCACCATGCTTCCTGGCAGAAACACACATCTGGCTGTCACACATGCCATTGCATGGGAAAGAAAAACCACAGAGCTATAAATCTCTCCTCTTGCATTTTTTTTGTCAGTCTGTTGAACTTTTCTGTGCTCTTTCCCATTTGGGGCTAATGCCACCAATCTCTGCAACAGAAAATAAGTTTAGGCTATCCTGTTGTCTGGTCCAGTTGCATGAGATAATTAAGGGATACCTAAAAAGTAAAAAGATGGAGATTTCAGAAGTTCCCTACTTCTCTCTCCAGACTGTGTCTATAAATTGTATTATTAGATTTCCCAGTACTGACCTGTCCTTAAAACTATGCAGTAAAGCAGATTGAAGACTGTACACTTTTCATTTAGTACCAAATGTATTATTAGAAAGTTTGGTATGTGTTGTTTTTTTTTTTATTTGTTTTTGAGACAGGGTTTCTCTGGCTGTCCTGGAACTTACACTGTACCATAGACCAGGCTGGCCTCGAACTCACAGAGATTCACCTGCCTCTGTCTCCTGAGTGCTGGGATGAAAGGCATACACCACCACCACCCTATGAAAGTTTGGTATGGTTATGAACTGTAATACCAGCACCTGGGAAATGGAGGCAAGAGAATCAGGAAGCATTGTCTTGGGGTTTGTATTGCTGCATTAAAACATCATGACCAATAAGCAAGTTGGGGAGGAAATGGTTTATTTGGCTTATAGTTCCTATTATTGTTTATCATTGAAGGAAGTTAGGACAAGAACACAAACAGGGAAGAAACCTGGAGGCAAGAGCTGTTGCAGAGGCCATGGAGGGGTGCTTCCTACTGGCTTGTTCATCACTTCTTCCTCAGTCTGCTTTCTTATAGAACCCAGGACCACCAGCCCAGGCATGGCTCCACTCACAAAGAGCTGAGCCCTTCCCCATCAATCACCAATTAAGAAAATGCCCTGCAGGCCTGGCAACAGCCTGAGGTTATAGAGGCGTTTTCTCAATTGAAGCTCCTCTTAGATGACTCTAGCTTGTGTCAAGTTGACATAAAACTATCTATCACATACACAATTATTTACTTTATTTAATGTTTATGAATGTTTTGCCTGTTTGTAAATCTTTTTACCACATGTATGACTGGTGCCTATGAAGTCAGAAAAGGCAACCCCTGAACCTGGATTTACAGGTGGCTGTGAGCTGTCATGTGGATGCTGGGAACTGAACCCAGGTTCTCTACAAGAGCAGCAAGTGCTGTTAAACACTTAGTGTCAGCCCATCCTCCAGCTCCTTAAATCAAGAATTTGAGGTCATCTTTCGCTATACAGTGAGTTTGAGCCTGGCCTCCCTCTCTCTCAAAAGAAGTGCTACTTTAGAATAGCAGTCTTTCTTGCTGTCCTTGTTCCTGCCATAAGGTTCTTGGCAGAATTTGAAAAGAAAAAAAAATGAACAGCTGGTCTAATAAGTTCATGTCAAATTTCCTCTGCAGGCTTGGCGCAAGCGCTGGTTTGTGCTCCGTCGTGGCCGCATGAGTGGCAATCCTGATGTCTTGGAATACTACCGCAACAAGCACTCCAGCAAGCCCATCCGTGTGATAGACCTCAGCGAATGCACTGTGTGGAAGCATGCAGGCCCTGGCTTCGTTAGGAAAGAATTTCAAAACAATTTTGTGTTCATTGTCAAGACTGCTTCCCGTACCTTTTACCTAGTAGCCAAGACTGAGGAAGAAATGCAGGTGTGGGTACACAGCATCAGTCAAGTTTGCAATTTCAGTCATCTGGAAGATGGTGCAGGTAAGAGCAGGGTTGGAACTCCTGTGAGCAAAGGGATGGCCCAAGATGTTTTCCTGGTGCTGGAAAGCTACTACAAATAAGTGGTGTAGGTATTTTGGCAATCTACCAGAGCTACTCCTACTAAATTCAATACAACACTGGAAAGCACTGTCTTTCACTTGGTAGTAGGATTCAAGTCCAAATGTGGAAAGACAAACTCTGCCCATACATGTAATATTGGAGATCTCTAGTAGTAAACAACCTGGAAGTTGGCTCTGGGTCACTTCTGGGCATTGGGAGCAGTTGACTCAATTCTTTCCTCCTCTTCCTTTTTCTCTTGTTCTTCCTCCTCCTCCCAATTACTCTTCTGTTCCGTTTCTGTTTCTCCCTTTTCACTCTGTCTCTACATACTACCATCCCCATGTAATATACGAGGTGGTTATAGCCCAGGGTTATAATTCACTTCCCTTCATAGATTTTTTTTGCGCCTATATTAGTCAACTTTCTCTTAATTAATAGAACACACACAGATTATTAGAAGGGTTTACAAGTGTGGTCTGACCAGTTCAATAATGGTTATCTCATGATGGAAAGGTAAAGAATCAAATAGTTGTTGAATTCATGAGGATGCAAGTCTCAGTTGGTCTTCAGTCTAAATTGGAATCCTTAAGTAGGTTCTAGGGGCTGGGGAGACGGCTCAGAGGTTAAGAGCACTGTCTGCTCTTCCAGAGGTTCTGAGTTCAATTCCCAGCAACCACATGGTGGCTCACAACCATCTATAGTGAGATCTGGTGCCCTCTTCTGTTGTGCAGGCACACATGCGGGCAGAACACTGTATACATAATAAACAAATCTTAAAAAAAAAAGAAGTAGGTTCTAATACCAGCAATGGAATGCCTCAGGAGAAGGCTAGATAAGCTTGCCAGTGAGAATGAGTGCAAGCAGGCAAAAAGCAAAAAGCTCTTTCTTTCCGTGTTCTTTTATGGGGGCCGAAGGTGTGGTCAAGATTTAGGGTGTGCCATTTCACCTCAAACTATCCAATCAAAAAAATCTTTCATAGGCACACCCAGCCACTTGGGCTTTAGTTGATTTCAGATGTAGTCAATTTGACAGTCAAGATTAGCCATCACAGAGTCTAGTATTATTGCACCATATTCTGACACTTAGATTAGGGGATTTTGAATGTGGCTTCTTTTAGCCTCTTTGTTTAGTAGATAAAAATTGTATCCCTAATCTTGGCACATACTTCAACATTTCAGTAACTCCTTTACTTTTTTTTTTTTTACCATCTACCAAGGAAATAGCCACACTATAACAGCAGGTGGCAATGGAGAGTCAGGATTGGATCTCTAAGGCAAACACGAATGTGTACTTCCTTTTTTTTTTTTTTTTTTTTCATGAGCCAGCAAAGCTTATTAAGTGATACTATTTAGTAACATTGCTGAGCTTTGAAAGCACTCAAATAAAAGGAAATGAAGTGACAGCAATTACTTTATCCTTGGTACAACAGACAGAGCTTGCAAAATAGCAGTACATGCCTAGAGCCTGATGTCAAACAAACCCAGCAGAGCCTCCCTGACCAACTCTTTCAGTGGTACTTGCTGTTGGCTCTCCACTACCCTAATTCCTACTTTCAATCAAACTTTTACATATGTATTTTTCATGCACCCTGTTATGTGCCTCCTCTTTCTTTCTTTTCTCATTCAGCAGTTGTCGTAAAACATGTATGTGTAGTATATTTCTCAGTGACTCAAAAGGAACAGGAGTAAAGCACCAGGAAAAAACTAGAAAACACTGCCCCACAACTCCAAAAGGAGTTTTTAGGAGAATGTAAAGGCCGACTCTTTTTAGTCTGAAATCCATGTTATAAAGGTTTTCTTGCAGTTTTCCACATGCAGCAGCCCCCTTTATTTACAGGTGATGGATTTCAAAATCCCTAGTAGATGTCTGAAGCCTCAGACAGTACCAAATTCTATTTTCAATGGTAAATAATTTTCTCTACACACACACACACACACACACACACACACACACACACACACACACACA